GCTGTATATGGCCTGGTTAGACTAGTCCAGGCTCAATTCCTTTTATTCCTACTCCGTCCTCTCTCACTTTCACTCACCTCTCTCTCTCTTCTTCACCTCTTCTCAGCAACTTTTTAAAACTGTTTGCAAAGCCCGATTACTACAAATGAGAGACAAGCATCCAATATGTTTACATCAAATACAGCCTTGGGGCAAGGCAACATTTGTACACGGCTCCTCTCTGCTGCGTCTCCTCATTTTAACATGGTCTGGAGAGTCAGGGTGTGAGGAAGACCTGTCAAGGTGAACTAACACTATGCGTGCTAGAAAAAAAAGGACAAGTCTGAACGGTGAAAATTTAGAAACACAAGTGAAAAGAGAAGTGAAGTGAAAGCTTTAGAGGTTGTGAAAATGTGAACCTGAACGACAGACTGAAACAGGCAGTAATGGGGCCATGGCCGCACATTCAGGCTCTGGGATCAAAAATCATTTAATGCATCAAAGCTGATGGAAATGAGGCTGCATTGGAGCGAGGCCGCTGTGTTATCTTTCAAATCATTAACACCAGACTCCACGGCCTTATTTAGATTTATTAACTGTGGCAACAGGTTGAAAGACATTTTCTCAGTTGTTTTTCCAAACTTTTATTGTGATACAGTAACGTTTTGGACAACACCCAAATACACCTGTTTCCCCCAATGCTGTGTAGTAATTGTATTAGCAAGTGCAATCGTCTCTTCAGTATGTCTGTCCGCCTGTTTTTGTTGGGTCTGACAGTCTCTATTTGTAGCCAATTTTGTAATACCAGAGGGGCTCCTTATATTGGTGTGGGCACAGCAGCACTCAAATAAGCTGGTTAAATATGCCCAAGGATACCCCAGCCTTTAGCAGAGAGGCTTTGGACTTGTATATCTCTTAGCAACAGGTGTACCGATTAAGGTCTGCAATGAGCCCCAAAGGAATGACAAAAACAGCCAGTCACAGTTGTAGCCACGCAGTGTAATTACACTGAAAAGTTCAAACAGAAGGTAAATGAACACTATGGACAGCCGTTTGAGCAGATGAGACCTGAATGTGTGCAGAAACTGTACACTTAGTTTAAAATGTGTACTATATTATGGACTGTAATTAAGTCTACTAATGCACTCTAACATTGTGCATTTTTTGTTTGTTTGTTTGTTTGTTTGCAGATCAGAAGGTTAAATGAGCAGTATAGAATTTATGAGATAAGTAAGTGTTTTTGACACTAACAAGTGGAAACTACTATCCATTTAGACAAGAGACACAGCCACATATGTCTGACCAGTATCTGTGAGGGATACAGCTTATAAAAATAAATACATAAATAAGTTAATAAATAAATGCACATTTTTGTTAGAACATTTAAGTAATAAAGTTTTATGAGGTGCAAATTTTCTTGTTTCAATTTATTCCCCAAAAGTCTCAACTATATCTCGAACTGCTTGCAATTTACCCTTATTTTACTTACAAATTGGTCATTGGCTTCTTAAAGTTGCATCTTGCTTTCTGACAATGAGGAAATAAAATGGAGCAGACACACAAGCTAAATCTTGGAATTATGAGGAATAAATTGTCTTGCAAATAACCTCAAGACTCCTCAAACATGAAAACGAGGCGTGTGGTCTGGTTGGAAAACTTTTGTGTTTTTGGAGATAGTGACGTGTGTAATAAATTACACTTCAACTAGAAAAATCACCCGCTGATGAAGGACAAAAACTATAGTATCAGTTAAAACCCATGCAGTAATTTGCTATTTATGTATAGTTTAACATGTGAGAATTACACAGAAATTGAAACTAAAACTGGTAAATGTATTTATCCTTATATAAATGAGCTTTATTGGGTTTGTATTGTTTATTTTTTTATTTAAAAGATCTGAAAACGGTGGCGATGTGAGCAGTTCCTGAGGAAAAAATGCACAAGTGCGTAAAGCAAAATGTATATATATTAAAATAGAAAATAAATAAATAATAGATATAGAGAGAAAAAGTTTCTGACTTTTGGTGCTCAACCCACTTTGGTTCCTACAGTCTAACTTACTCACCCACACACTTCTCTCCCTGTGCAGAGCTCTGCAAACCGCTGCTGCTGAGAAGCAAACAGTATGTGCCTGTCTCTCCGTGGCTCTACTCGGTTCGTGACAAAATGCTGAACTGTGAAAATTACAGCTCACATCATTTTTGATATGTTTGAAAGTAATTATGAATAACAAAATTAAGTAATTATGATTAAATTATAAATTGGGCAACCATGCTACTGTGGTTATTTCATTTTACGGTTTCTTATATAAGCTAAACTTATAGATATTGTGATTTAGTCAAACTAAAACTTTTTAATAATAAATATGTTATTAATAAAAAAAAACACAATTTGACTAAATAGATATACAAAGCTTGGAAACCAACACTGAGTCTCCTTTTTTCAAAACAATGAGCAGCTGACTAAACTAAACTGCACAATTAAAACTGAAAGTATGATTAAAAAAATTTTTTGGTTGAAGTCAACTTTGAGACAGCCTCATCTGATGCAGGACAACTTCTCCTCAGTCTCTTGCCGCAAAAATGAAATGTACTATCCCCAAATTATTTCTTCTGGGGATGAGAAATCAGGTCAAGCATGGCAAATGCTCGGTAGAAAAAAGTCTGAACGGTAAATTATGCATCGTCACATATGGCAGGATTGAATCTTGGTCTAACGAAGGTAAAAATGGTTAATGATTGGCCTGAAGGAAGCCTGCATGGCTGAATGTATGAGGACATAGGCTGTTTCTAAAGCAACAAATGGCAGAAGTCTGGATGTCCTTGTTGTTTTAGGAAATTTAGTGTCCACAGATGTTCAAGTGCTGAATTTTATCTCTTTATTAAATCTTGCATAATGCACTTAATTAGAGGTCGCCAAGTTCACCTTATAACTTATCTTATTTCCATCTGAAGCTACAAGCAGTAAAAGTACTTCTTTCCAACACAGAATATTTGCATATAGAATTATTCATACAAAGTAACCAAGAAAGACGGTCAAAGGTTTCAAGCCGAATCTGCAAAAGCTGCATTTACTTTACCAAACCAAAAATTTGGAAAGTAGACATGTTGAAGGTGTGGTTCACTCATTTAATCAATTGATTTGCAGTAGTCTACAGTAGAAATGAATGCCTTGTAGTCATACTCTAGGAAAAAAAGCTCAGGAGTACCTTTTTGAAGACGAATGACTCAGCTGGAGGAGAGAGTGGCAGAACATGACAGGATTTGGAGTCTTATTTCCTTATGTTTAGACATCTCGCCTCTGATTGGGTAACAGTTATGTGACTCTACCACTGACTCTGTTTTGCAACGTTGATGATTTTTACACAAATAACACAAGCCTGGAGGGGTTCTGCAGTGTGGTGGGGTTGCTAATGCTAATGGTTAGCTTCTACTAGTTGAGGCATTGTCTGCCGTTTCCTGGACTCTAAACCAAAAGCCTTCCCAGTCGTGAGTCAAGATGGGTGAGTCCATGAAAGTTAGTCTCTTTCCAGAGTATTTCTCTTATCCGATGGCACCATCTAGTAGCTGACAAGCATATCACACAAAAAGTCTGTCGCTCTGTTTTTTTAAGATGGCGACTTCATGTTTTTTGTTTATAAATGTGCTTCTGTAGCCGTCAAACAGAGCTAAAACATGTTGTTTTACAAGTATTATTCTCATGTCATGTTGTGTTTTCATATATTTATATTTTAAAGACTTTCTTGTCCGTGAAAAGTTCATCAACTCTGCATCATCCAAGGTATTCCTTAAATTTGAAGCATGTAAGTGGTAGTCTAACGCTATTGGTTAGTTCTGGACGGTGCTCAGTTTCCTATTGCAGAGCTCTGCGGAGCAGGGGGCGTGCTTAGCAAATAAAAAAAAATTTTTAAAAGACATATTGCTTACATTATATCACAGTACATGATAAGATAATCACTTTTACAGATTTCTGATAAACCAGACATAATTTCTGAAAGTAGAAAACTCCAGAAAGCTGCTTTAAGTGACAGTTTGATGTAGATCTGTCAGACTTTTCTAATCATAGAGTTTTACAGTCTATTTTCCATCAGAAGCTACTGCAGGAGATAGATGTAGGAGACTATGTTTATGTTTAGCCTGCATGTAAAACTCTGAGTGACTGAATAAAATCGAGAAAAAATAATTTAAAAGTGTTTTTTAATGAACCACCTCTTTAAAAAAAACTACACTTGGGTTGTGTGTTGAATTCCAATTTTCTGACTGAACTACATCCAGATCAACATCTCAGTTCTGCAACACCGGTTACCAGAGAAGCCTTACCTAGACCGCACACGCAAAGAGAGATTGTCACTCAAGTTTTAAAGAATTAATCAGCCAGAAATCTTCTATTGCTTGTTCTTTCTCGCTCTTCCTCACCTACATGTCACGTGTGCTATCAAATGACACACCGGCTGACTGAGCTATTGTCAGCCTTCTGCCTGCCTGCTTTCTCGTCCTGTTCAGGCAGACGTCAGAAGCTTGACCGACAGGCGTTGTGTAAGAAATGATCCCCGTTGGAGCTACAAGGCTTTGACATTTGTGTTTAGTAAAAGTAATCTGTGTTTAGTAAATACAACTCAACTAAATTATTATTATCCTTCATGGTAATCTGTTATTTTAACAAAAGTAGACTGTGCTTCAATTAAGTTTCTGTTTTAGGAAAAGTACTCCTCAGAAGTTCCATAAAAACACAGTTGAGAACATCCTCTCTACCTAGGTAATATACTAATATGGAGTGAATACCAATCTTTACTACCCCTTGGAACCAAGACAGCACCTAAGCTCCTTGAAATCCAAAGCACACTTTTGGCTTTTGCTCTCTAAAAGTAATCCTCAATGTAAACATTTATGAATAAGATACCAAAGCAAAAAAAGCCAAAATGCTACTTGCTCTTAGGAATGATCTGGGGCGTTTTAGGTTTAAAAAAATAAGTCCAAAGTTGTGGGGAGACCACAGAAATTAATAATTGAAAAAATGATTACCTTGACAATTGGATGGCCACCAGAAGCTGCTTTGATGGCACCTCGGCTGCCTTCTGTCTCATAGTGTGCACGGTGGTGGGCTTTGGGTTGCACTTCTATCTTCAGTTCATACTGGCCAAACTGGCTTGGCAGTGGCCAATCTAAAGGAGGCAGTGAGGAAGTCCTGAGGAAGCAGAACCACATACACACCCACACAGAGAGGCAGAGGAAATTAGAGCGTTTGTATCAAACTCTGAAATCATAAAGTGTTTAAAGATGGTCAAAATTTTACTTAAAGCAAACAATTGAGACATTTTGTGGTTGAGGGAAATGTTACCAACAACATTATTCTGTGATATTTTGAAAAAAATATGTAAATTCTCTGACATCAAGCGTTAGAACAGGCTTTCACTAACTCCCGGCTGAAGACATAAACCTCTCTTCAAGCTATCAGAACACAATAAAAGTCTGGAAAAAAAAAAAAAGATTTTCCCCTGTTAAAAACTGCCACTGAGCACTCAGAACAAGATGAAGTGCGCTCTGTCCCATCAGACAGTGAATCACAGGAATGCCCACGTGAATCTGCCCTGCTCTTAAACATTAAACTTGTATAGGTCAAGTTCAGATACTAAGAGTGAATCATTTTCTAGGGGGGACTTTTTATTCTGAGTCTTTCACATTTGGGTCAGAGAATGGGTGAAAGGAGAAGCGTTCCAGCTAAACCAGTTCATAAATGACACTGTCTGTGTCTGAGTATACAGTAAATGTGAATAATTTGTGTCCCAAGGCATCACAGGGGGTAGCATTTTGTTTTTCCTCAGTGCTTATTTTTTGTTATCAGAGTAGACCACAATCATATTTGAACAGCTGCACTCAAAAATAAAACACTCAGAAAAACTGGGTTCTTCTAACAGAATGCATTAGATTAGTTTAGCTCAACCTAATTTCACTTATTGGTGCTACTAATTAGCATTAAAACACTTCAACATTGTCAGTTTAATAGTAAATGTTGTTAATTGGGAGTTCTTTGAATTAGTTGAATTATTTAGAATGCATTTTATACTAAAAATGGTCTTTTTCTCTCACAAAAACATGTTCAAGATACATTTTTAGGAAATATTTTGAAGTAAGAAACATGACCTAATTTCTGCCGTACTCATCATAATAGCATTTATATTTGTGTACATTAAGATATTAGCTGACTACATTTTCAGATCATGTCTCATTCATAGTTAAAGGAGACTATAATACCCTAATTTTTCAGTTTTTTTTTTTTTTTTTTTTTTTTGCTTTTTGGCTTTTAATCTATTACATCTTATTACTACTTTGGGGTTTGAATTGCAGGATGTAAACCTGTTGTTACATCTGAAGAGGCTTTTAAACCCATAGAAGTGTGTATATCCTCCTGTGACCATTAATGCAAGCATGTCTGATCAAGCGAGTCACCTTTGTGCTGTCAAAGCAGCCACAACCAGTCAGGAGAACATCTGAGGGGTACCTGTGGGATTATTAATAGATCCCCAAAAGTATTAGGTGAGTTCTCTGTGGATTGGAGCTGCTTATTCTAATACCACCAGACTCCACATAAAGGTTAGGTAATTTTACCCATCCTGAGCAGTTTTAGTTTCTTGTTTTTGTAAGGTAACGATGCTGCCATGTTAGTGGTGTATATGGTGGGAACCCCACAACAAAGTTTTACCATATAAACACTGGAATGCAACAGTTTCTGCTGTTATTCACTACTAGGCAACAGTGAGAGAGGAGTTACGTGCCCACCCCATAACTGGAGGGCTGCAGGTTCGAGTAAAGTACCGGTAAAAGTAAAAGACTTTCATAAAAATAAATTCCAGGTTTTTGAACCCAGGAATACCATTGTTTTTATTATTTTCACCTAGTTGAGGTTAAGGAAGCTAAGCGTTTTTTAAATCATGGCAAGTGTCTGATAATCCAAGCCAACATTCATTCCACCCTTTCTAACCCACCCAATCCACCTGGGCCATCTGTTTAAAAGCATGCAAGTGGAGGCAACTCAAGGCCCTTTTTCATGGCAAACATGTCCCATCTGCTGTCTTGGCTGTGTTAAAAATACAGTAACTTATGGTTGAAATTTAGAGATTGAATCACAGACCTGACCTGGTTTTAGTCTAGACAATGTTAGGTCTATGTGAGCAAGTCTTTGTGTTATGTCTATGGATCTGTGCGTCTATGTGTGTGTGTGTGTGTGTGTGGTTGCCCCCTTGCCATATGTGGCCTGTGCTGATTTACAGCACCAGGGGCCAGTGCACACAAACAAGGCTTCATCTTCATCTGCCACACACATTGGAGAACAGACAGCCAACTTTGCTCGTGTTTGTGTAGATTTAGCATGGTGTGTGTGGGGGTGTGTGTGTGTGTGTGTGTGTGTTCGTTCATTTACAAACATATTAATTCATGTAACACAGCTTCTCACATGTGAACAGTGAGCACAGCTTCACTTAATGACACAGTAATCTAATAAAGTTCATTTAAAAATCCTACATGGGCTGAAGAATCCACTTTTTGGAGATTTTGACAATATTATTTTCTCAAGAAAAATGCCCCCAAAGCTTTTTCGGGTTTCACATATGCATGTTCCTGTCTCAGCTGCATCTTCCTTCAGCTCTGCTACATTCAGCTTTAATATTATAATATATTGTCCTGTTCTTTGCCCTGGAAGGTGTAAAGTAACATGATACAGGCTCTTTGTAGATTTCTACTCTTAACTTTGCATTTCTCAGCTTTGATCTTCAGTTGTTTAAGAATTGGTGAAGTCTCCAAGTCAAAGACTCAAATTTCTAGAATTTTTACACGTTTTAAATTGCAGTAAACCATTGGTTTCTCTGATGTGCTAATCACATCGAAAAAAAGCTTTAAAAACTTTAAAAGATGTTGCACATTTCAGTTCCATGTGTGAGAAAATAAATTCTTTATTTGACTGACAATTTGAACAGCTATTTCTGCCTTTCTCAAGGTCAAGAAGCCTACTCTTTGACTCTATAGCCTTCTACAGGTGTGTCCAGGTTCAGGGGTAGCATTCTTGTAAGGATCTGGCTTATTCCATCCACATAGGTCGGGCCCCACCTTGACCACTAAGACCAGACGTTAGTGGCTGTGTACTTGGATGGGCTAGCCTTTGTGACTTTCTCGGCATTAACATAGTAAAAATGAACGTTCATAATGTCTGTAAGCCCTTTATTCACATTAGCTCATTCAGGAAAATGTTAATGCCATTTTGTTCCTCATTTTCTAGTCTGTTCCTCGTGTTGTTTGAGAAAATAGCTGATTCCACCCTCGCAAATCTTCTCTGAATGACTCCAGCTCCTGTGGATCCTCCTCTTCAACACCCATAGCCCCAAGGTGTCTTTTACTATGTAGTATGTTCAGAGCTGTCAGTCTGGAAACAGCACATTTTTCTAGCTATGCAGCAACAAGCAAAGGAGGAAAAAGTTACTGGAGCTGACAAGTTAAAAAGTCATCATTTGCAATAAACAAAAGCAAAGAAAAAGGTTCCACCAGTTCAAACAAATGTTTGAACCTGTCAAAACAGAGTTCTTGTTATTTTTTGTAGCCTCGTGGTTTACAGTCTCACATGAGTCAGAAATACTTGGTTATTTTAGCAAGACTCATTTGATTCTAGAAATAGCTTCTTCTAATTTAACCAACAGTCCTCCTGCTGGATCAATTAAGCATTGTCTAGGTAAGAATAACATCAATTATCCATGTTGATATTCTGTTTTGTTTTGTTTTAAACAAGAGAATGACTTATGAATAGTCATAATTAGCATGATCAGTCTGGACAGTTGCACAAGCTTGGGCTGTATATGAAGGACCGCTTTGAAGAACCTGTGTGGACTAAGCAAAATGCAAAACTCATGAAAAATACTTCCTTAGGGGTTTAGCTGAAAATATCTATCCACCTATGGTTATGTGTTATTTATTTGTTGCTATCCAAACAACATACATTTCTTGTCTGAATAAAAAAAGTCACCACATGGATTTAACAAAGCAAACAGGTTTGAGCCTCCTATTGGATAATTACTGCATGGGTGATTATCTTTCAGGTGGCAATAAGTTATTTTACCCCAACTGGTGCAATGAGTTGCTTCACATGTCTTAAACAACCATGTGGAAAGACACATCTGGTGGTTGTGGAAAAGATGTTATTTTGTTTGAGAAGGGTCAGATCGTTGGCATGCATCAAGCAGAGAAAACATCTAAGGCCATTGCAGACGAGACTACAATTGGGTTAAGAACAGTCCAACGCATCATTAAAAACTGGAAGGATAGTGGGAACCTATCAACTTCCAGGAAGAAATGTGGGCGGAATAAAAGTACCAAATGATTGTGATTGGCGATCACTTAAATGTTTGGTGAAATCCAATAGAAGAAAAACGAAAGTAAAACCCAGGGCTATGTTTAATGGTGAAAGTAAGAGTATTTCCATGTGCACAATGCAAAAGCAATTCAAGAGATTGGGGCTGAACAGCTGTGTAGCCATTAGAAAACCACTAATCAGTGAGGCAAACTGGGAAAAAAGACCAGTTTGCTAAGGAGTATAAATATTGAACTCTGGAGCAATGAAAGAAGGTTGTGGTCTGATGAGTCCAGATGGGTCCTGTTACAGAATGATGGGTGCATCAGGGTAAGAAGAGAGGCAGATAAAGTGATGCATCCACCATGCCTAGAGTCTACTGTACAAGCCTGTGGGGGCAGTGCTATGATCTGGGCTTGCTGCAGTTGGTCAAGTTTAGGTTCAGATGTGCTTCAAGAATGAGGTCAGCTGACTACCTGAATATACTAAATGACCAGATTATTCCATCAATTGATGTTTTTCTTTCCTGATGGCATGGGTATACTGCAAGATGACAATGCAAGGATTCATTAGCCACCACAGTCCAGACCTCAACCCCATTGAGAATCTTTGGGATGTGCTGGAGAAGGCTTTGCGCAGCAGTCAGACTCTACCACCATCAATGCAAGATCTTGGTGAACAATTAACGCAACCGCCTGTTTTTGCATCATGGTTAATCAAACTTTTTTCTCTAATGTGGCTAAATAGTTACTTCTGGGTAAATTGAATAAAATTGCCTTTGAGAATAAGTGCATCTATGGTTTGAAATCAAGAAATTTACCTGAATATAGGTGTATGGCCAGGCTTGGGTTTATTCCATGAGAAATGGGAGGGTACTGAGAGGAACTGTTCTGCAACCCCATCTTTCTTCTGGCTGTGTAGGGCCTCGTCTGAAGGAGAGTCCAAACTACAGGATGTATTGTCTTGGTCATCTTGCCCCAACTCCCCTTTCCCAGTTTGCATAGTTGTTCTATCTTGTGAGGTCTTCCTTGTCTTCAGTGGGATGTCAATCTCAGATGGGCAGCATTGAAAAGGTGACATGCCAACAGAGGGACTCCCAGCCCAAGTGTCTTCTGTCACACTTCCTCTAGGGGAATGTCCTGGTGTGGGTGTGGGTGAATGATGAGGAGACAGAGAACCCGGATAGCAAATGTCAGCGCTAGAGTGGCGCCTTTTCCCACAGGGTGAGGTGGGACGGGAAGAGGGACGGGAAGATGGCCGTGGGCTGAGCCAATTTTCATCCGTGACGCTGGTGCGTGGCGAATGGCATGGTGACTGTCGAGGAGAAAGGGTGGAGTGACTGTGGTGCATAAAAGAAGGGTGGTGTTGTGGCCAGGGGGGCTGATCCTCCAGAACTCCACCACCAGTTTGAGGAGAGGTGCAGCCTGGAGAAGTCAAAGGGGAACCTAAAGAAAACCTGGCAGCTGCTTCGTTCAGCTCTGAGTCTACATCGTCATAAACATGTGAAAATGATTCACAGGAGGAGGCATCAGAATACCAGCTTCTAGAAGACACACTGCTGCCAGGGCTTGGGCTAAGTGAGGAGTCCCGGTATGAATGGTCCAGTGGTAAGTACAGGTGGTCTCTGGACAATATCCTGTCACCATGGTAATCCCCATCAGGACCATTGGGCCTCAGCTCTCCTTCACTGGCATCCATCTCCTGCTGGCAACTAGGGGAAATAGAGGTGATCTGGATACTAGGGCACTCAAAAGGCTTTGGTGCCTCCACAGGAGCAGAGGGGCCATATTTGGAGTCTTGAACCTCATAGCTTAAAGGCTCAGATCCTGGTTTGTGTGATGGAAGGCGTGACAAAGTGTTGATGACATGGGATTGGGAGTGCATGCCATGGCGAGACAGACCAATAGCCTGGTGGCTAGTGACCATAGATGGAGGCTGGCCCACGTTTAGGATATAGAAGGATGTGTTGTCGTCTGGCTCCAGATCTAGGATGGATAAAGGAAGGAATTATCACCAAACAGCAAAATGAACATCAATCTTTCTTATTAAAGTTCATTAGTTTTGTCCCTCCTTAAAATGTTTATTGCTTATTTAGATGGATTCATGGAAACAATAAACAAATAAAAAAGACCAGATTCTTACACCAGAAATATAGAAAAAATCAAAACAGACTCAAGATACAATCTGGTTAAAATGCTGAAAAATCTTAGTTGTGATGCTTCTTCTCTGGGTTTATTTATGTGGTCAGATCCAATATAAAACCCACAGGCAGAGCTGGAGACATTGTATGTTCGTCTGATATGCTGTGTGATACAGAAACAAACACATAGGAAAAGCAAACATGCTCTAAACTTAATGAAGCATTTTGAATATCATATGATGGATATTTTTGTGTTTAGACCCAGTGGATTGAAGCAGATCTCACCCTGACCTAGTCCATTTTATATTTAAAAGAGATACCACTAGAATATTGATTTAGTTCACCTGCTAATAACAATCTTACTCAAGTCATGCTTACACAAAACACCACACTACATGGGGCACCACACTTGAACTTTTGTTTGCAAAATGAACTCAAAATTATTTGCATGATTTTTCCTTAAGCTTGAGCTTCAGCTCAGTTTTAGAAGATTATCGACCCAAGTGTTGCTAGGTAGCTGGCAGTGAAATGGGCTCTGTTCCAGAAGGGATAACCAATGAACTGCACAACTCAGGAAATAAATTCACACAACGTTGCATGCTGCCGGCTGTCATCACAGCTAGGGCTAGTAGACTATTTATACCAAAGGTCATTCGGCACAGGCACCATATATACACATAAACAGACACACACACTTAAACAGACAAACGTCCATTGTGTGTATTGGATCTATTCAGTAAGACTTTGTTTATATATTTTTGGTGAATACAATCAGCTACTTTCTCTGGAAAAGCTCTTTTGGAGAGATCTGGATGTTCCTCATTCGAAATATTAATTTAAACTATGAGCAACAGAAGAGAAGCATCTCTGAAACCCTATGGACAGAATTAGATGCATTGTCATTTCATTAATTGCGGGGGGTACAAAACAACAAAATAAGATCGATGAAAGCACCAAGTAACATGACCATTCTGCCTTGTGTTGGGCTACAATGAAGACAGAGTGTTTAAAAAGAGAAAAACACAAAAGCTAAATGATAAAAGTAACTCTGAATACAAAAGAATTGTCAATGAGTGTCCATGAATAATCAGGCTTAGGTGAAACCACAGTGTTGTCCGTACAGGATATGATTGTGAAATCACTAGACACTTCCACAAACTCCTTAAATGAACCCACCACCCAAACATTTAGAGAAGGGGGGGGGGGGGGGGGGTGTTAAATGTAATACATAATTTAGCAAGACTCAATTGAAATAAAACCATTAAATAAAACTAAAGATGGAATAAATTATTATTTACTGTTTAATACCTTTACATGAAGCAATGCATTGTTAATATTTGGAAGCAAAATGATTTTGAGGGGGAAGTATCATGTGCTGTCTGACATTTCTATCCAACAGCCACAGAAGGGAAGCTTTTTTAAGCTTAACTCAGCTAAAATAAATAAAAGGGCAGAGAAATTTATAACAAAAGAATGCAGACCAAACAGAAACATAACTATTTGGTTATATACAAATTCCTGCAACAAAAAACATCCTCAAAGAAAATAAATAACATTGCCATACTATATACACTAGATTTTATATTAAAAGTTAAATGAGCTTTGCTATGTTGTTTAGAATAAGTATAACTTCCATAACTACTTATACCTCTTTATAAACAAGACATTTTTATGGTAGAACCCTTGAAATTCAGTACAGCTTTCATCTACTTGGGAAGTTTTCTATGTAGACTCCCATCTCATTAACAGAACTCCAGCTCATATCCCTGGGTGAGTAGTAAATATTGGAACGTTAACGAACACTACTCATTCATTGTTTGCCAACCTAACCCCCAAATATGAATTGTATGATGTTAAGTAAACGAAAATAGTCTGGACTACGAACAAGGCCCTTAGGCAACTCAAGACCATATACCAACACTGACCTCCCTGAAAGAGGACGTTTGGTTCACTGAGCAGAGCTTTCAGACTGCACAGCATTTGCATTTACAAAAAATTACAGAATGCACTAAAAGAAAAGGGAGAAATACAACTTCACTGAAACAAACTGAATGAGTGTCAATACAAATAAAACAATTCCAGTAATTTCATTGGGTACAACAATGGGTACATTTACCTTTTTCTGTGAACACATTTATCATTAATTACTTTGTTGTGAAATGTAGGTAGTGTAAGCTGAAATGACAATATGAGTTTTAGAAACAATGCACCAATATGAGTTTTAGAAACAATGCACCACTTGGCAACAATAATTGAAAGACTAGGTTCACTGGATTTTTTTCCCAACACAATGGCAGTGGTCTCTAATATAAATGAATGTCTTGTGAGTCAATCTCTGAGGGGAAAAAACTCTTATGATTCTGTTTCAGAAACTAGAAGTGAGCCACGACAGATAAAAGCTGCTTTTGAGTTGTATTTCCTGATATTTGGACATCTCGCCTCTGATTGGCTATCAGCAATGTGACTCTACCACTGACTCAGTTTGCAACCAGAGGCATGGGCTCTGACAATATAAAACGTTAAGGATTATAAAGTGATGGAGATCTACCAAAGCGCGGAGATAGTAGAGCTGTCTATTTGCGTTCTATCATCTGTGCCAATATTTCTGGACGCATCTACGGGCACATATTCTTTCTCAGCCGAGTCACTATTTGCTAGTCTGCTTCTGTCGGCACGACAGACATATCGAAGTTTAAGTCAGCGTTGGTTGGTATAGCTGGGGTGCTCAGTAGAGCTGGGGAAAACAATCTAATAATCAATGTATTAAGATGCGGACATAAACTATTATGAATCTTTGAAGAAGCACACCATACATACTCCATTATAGCGACAAGCTACTAGCATTAGCCACTAGCTTGCTCAGTCTTTAAGCGGTCATTAGATGTATTCTCATGTGTCTGCTCCATCAGGAAACTCTGGGTCAATGTGCTGCTACTAGCATTAGCCACTAGCTTGCTCAGTCTTTAAGCGGTCATTAGATGTATTCTCATGTGTCTGCTCCATCAGGAAACTCTGGGTCAATGTGCTGCTCTAAACTTTGCAGTTATTTTAGTGGCTTTTATTATTCTGGGATGTCCGTATGTGTTTTAGCATTTTTCACCGTGGCTGCCAATCGGAGCTCTGTTTGTGCCAGACCCCTCCACCACATAGTCAGGAAACAACAATGGAGAGCAGTGAGTCACAAGTAGCAGGTGTGTAATCCTGACTAGAGGATGCATAAGATGAGGAAGTATCATGAGTTTAGCTTAACATAATAAGATTTTTTCTCTAGACAAGAAATAATTACTGATAATAATGTGGATGAAACCATCTCTTTATGGAATTTCAGTTATTTTACATTAATTATAACTATATAATAAAATAAAAGTGCCCGTGGAACATTTGAGACATATATCTCTAGCTCTTAAATGTGATTAGATGGACGGATTGACAAACAGACATTGGAATTTGAAGATTTTTTTGGAAATCTTTTATCCTATTTTCTGTAAAGAGGTATGATTTTAACATCTGCATTTCTGAGATAGAAAAAAATTGTGATAAAATTGTCATTGTGATTTTGGAAAAACAAAATGGTGATATAATTTTTCTTCTATATAGCCCAACCCTATTTGTAACATTGATGTTTTGTCTCCAGAAATAACACAAACATGAAGGAGTTTTATCATGTTGTGGAGTCGCTAATGCTAATGGTTAGCTTCCACTAGCTGAGACACACTCTGTTCACTTCTGGATGCTAAATCAACTACAGCCTTCCATGTCAAGGGTCAAGAAGAGCAAGTCCATCAATCCTAACATGACGTCAAATGTCACAGGCTCTTTTCATTCAAGCTGTCCCTGTCTATTTTTTATTGGCGGATAACTGTTGAAATAGGGGTAGAAGACCTCTTTCACAATTAGCCTGCTTATTAAACTCAGAGTGACTGATCAGATTTCAAAAAGAACTATTTAAAAACAGTTTCTCAGCAAACTGCCAGTAAAAGAAAAATCAGAGTTATATGATAAACAAGAGATGATGTCAATTATACTGAATGCTCTGCTTAATTAAATTCGGTCAGGTGTTTATTTAACGACCTTACAACCTCTTTACAACAGAGGAAATGTACACCAAACTGCTTGTTTGTTTGTTAGTTCATAGTTCATCTGACACATATATTATTAATGGTAAAAGGTGTCCATTTCAGTATTGAGTAGGTAAGCAATGTCTGTTGGGATATATTAGGTTTGTGTTGTGGTCTAATAACACTAATGTAAGCGGCTGCCCTGTTTGTTGTTTCTGCTAAATACAAATGCAGACAACTGCTGCACAAAGAAGAAATATAAAATTGTGTGCCATTTTGATGTTTTTTTTTTCTTTTTTCATTTTAACTTCCAACAAAATAAAGGATAATGGAAATAGAGATGTTCAAAATTGGCTTTATTACCAATATCCGATATACTGATACTGTCTAACTCTTAATTTCCAATGCCAATATAAACCGATACCGATGTATGCATTGCCACCCACCCCACCCAAAAAGGTCAACAAAGTTACATATCTCCTATCATGCATGCTTACATTTTAAACATTATCTAGTAATATGACAGCTACTACTATAACTACAGTGTAAGTTTTTTTCTATAGGAATATGTGTCTTCATTGGCAACTTAATCTCATTTTTCCTGAGATAATCTTGACAAACAGTCTGTAATGCCTTTAGGCCAAAAATAATTATGTTCATGATTGGAATAAGTTAAATTAATAAGTTAATAAATAGTACAAGTAATTTAGTGAATTTTGTTTAGTATTTAAGAAAAGGTTTTAGACTTTGAAAATGGATAAAAGTGAGACACTCCGTTGCAAACCAT